AATACACATAAGTTGAATTTAATTTAAGTAAAACTACAAAAATTCAAAATTATTCTTTCAAATAATAATTAAATGTATTTAGTACCAATCAGCAATCGTTATTTTACCTAATAATGAAGTCTGCATTTTGTTAAGGGGATGTCAGTGCACTATTTGTTTTCTCTCTCTGAATTCACGCTCAACATAGACAAAACGTATTTAGTATTTACGCTGAATCATTTTTTCTATGTGTTCAAGTCATCTTAGAGTAAAATCGCCCATTACAAAAAAGATAGAAAATAATACTTTTTAGGGAATGAYATATCGATTTGTCTAAATATTGATTCAAAACAATTTAAACATCATTTAATTTGATCTATTATTTAATTACGTATACAATAAAGTATATTGTAAATCATTATATTTTTATTTCTGAAACATTTCATTACTAATTTCCAATTTGTGTTATGTAATAGTTAACTCTTCAATTTTTCGAGCTTCCCATTCTAACCATAAAGAAAATAACATAGTTTGAACAATAGTATTCTAAATAATTACATATTTTAATTTTGGTTTAAAATTTGATTTGTAATTTAATGTGATAGTTACCTAACTATGTAGTATTGAAAGTATTGAAATAATTATAATTATTTTTTTTTCTTATTACTCTTATAAATTAAAGAATATCAAACAATATTTTGATAGTAATATAAAAATCTGACCATTTGATTTTAATATAAAACCAGCTRTCTAAATTATGTTTTCTATAATAAATTAAAATAAATATGAGAATTTAATAATAAGTCATTATCATCTCTGCTTGAGGCTACATAATAAAATAATGTGTTTGGTACAAACAGGATTACTGTTTCAATAATATTTAATCCTAATTATAAATAACAAGACCAAGATTAAATAAATTGTTTTGAATTGATATTATTATATTATTATTTAATATTTATTATTGAATGCATTTTTTTAGTATTCTTGAAACTAAAGATATTCTTGATTACAAAAGATCATTCCACACATTATTATTTAAAATTTTTATTATTCTAAATATTCATTTAAATTGCCTACACTAAACCCCTTGAAATGCTAGTGTATGAGACGTCCTCTTAGTAAATCATAAACTGAATTAAATTCAATGATCAACAAATCAATTATAAGTGCTAAAAAAATTATTTTATTGTTGTTGAAATAAAATGTATTAAATTACAGGTACTTAAATTCTTGAATTGTTTACATCATTAGCTCATGTTAATCAAAATACAAGCACTGGAACTATTGATGCTTGAAGAAGTTAATTTCATAATTTGGTATTCAAAATTTTAATTTACAAATTAATCATTTATAGTTATCTAGTACCTAGTTTTTCAAGTCTATTAAAAATTAAAAATTAAACATATAATGTAATGTATAGTTTAGAGTAACAAATCCCAGCCACACATACATTAAGTGTTCCAAACCAACCGTTTCCCCTTACAAAATAGCTAATAACCATAGTCACCGGATACCAAAAGTACTTACGATCATATTAAATACAACAACTCTTAATCGAAAATCTAATGTTTATCTTGCGCACTAAATATTACATATGCCACGGAACGAAATAAACAATTATCGTCGCAGCGTCGCCTACTATGGGAATTAATTGATATTCTGTTTTAAATAAAAACTTAATTTAAAAATAATATTATTAATATATT